AGTCGCACGTCACCACCCACAGCACCCATAGATACACATCACCACCCACGTCACCACCCACAGCACCATAGTCGCACGTCACCACCCACAGCACCATAGTCGCGCGTCTGTGCAGCTGAATTTCCCAGGAGACAGGAACTCTGCGCTCCTCCTGGCGTGTCCCTGTACTTTGAAGACTGACCCAGGGGTCATGAGCTTGAGCTCACCACCCTCCTCACAAGCTGGCACACTCATGGCGCATGCTCACAAGTGCGTGTGCACCCTGTGCGCACACACAACCTGCGGCCAGCCCTGCATCTGTCGGCCTGGGCGGGACCGCGGGCCTGGACTCCGGCCTGCAGCCTCGCTAAGGCAGGGGACTCCTGTTCAGCGTGTGTCAGCACAAGACCCTCTGTTCGAGTGGCCTGTCCCTCGGTGGACTTGGTGGCTTTTCCCCATGGCAGTGACAGGGCTAAGTGAGCATCCTGCAAGGCTCTCTGGGGTCAGCACCCCAGAGACAAGCCTCCGTTCACACTACAGGCCGCTTTGGGGACAGCACGTGGTGGACCTCCAGGCCACCTCTCATGACCTGTGTGTGGACCAATGGCAGTATGGTGCTGGCCTCACAGTTTGGGCACGGGTGCTCTTCTAGGGGCCTCCCCCCGGCAGAGATGTCCCCACCTGCCTTGGCAGCATGGTGGAGCACCGTGGACCAGCCCAGAGGGCACCGGCCACGCTGTCGGGTTATCAGATGAAGTCGAGCCAAGCTCTGGTGGTGTGAGACCCACTGGCCTTCGGACACACCAGGGTCCCAGGAGAGTGAGGTGCCCTCTCTCCACGGGCCTGGCCCATCCTTCTGGTCAGCCACAGAGCCCGAGCTCGCCTCCCGGCACGGAGGAAAGTAAAGGAGACCCAGACCCAGCTGTCCATGGCCTGCAAAGCAGAGCCCAGGCCCAGGCAGCAGCACTGCAAGCCCAACAGGCGGCCGTCGGTGAACGCCCTTCATTTCCTGTCAAGGAAAGGCATGATTATTCTGGCAGAAAAGAGCAGATTCCCAAAGCCAAACCAGAGAAGAAATGGAATTCCTCAAAAAAAATTCCAGATGACCCTCAGCTGCTGTCCAGCACCCTGTCCAGGGTGCAGACTCCTGGACCCTGACGGATGAGGCGCAGTGCTTGGTGCCCCACGGGTCCAGAGCGTGGTCAGCCGTGAGGGCTGCGGCTGTGTCCCCAGCCTCCCGGGGAGCACCGAGGGGTCACCCAGACACAGTCTCGAAACGCCACCTGTGCGTGGTGTCCTTCCTGGGGTGAGCACGTCCTCACCGAGGCACACCCGTGTGCAGGCATAGGCTCACACAGGCACGCATGCTTCCTGCCACTCACATGTGACAGCTGCGTCCCGCGGTGTCTCCAGCATCCTCCAGACGCAGTGGCTCCTAGGATGGAAAGTCAGGGCGCGTGGGGGAAACAAGGACAGCGTCCCTCCAGAAACCCAGCAGGGCCAGCGCCTCTGGTCACGCTCACGGTGTCCCGGGCAGCCGGGGCGCTCAGGACCCCAGGGAGCACCCCGTGGACCTCTGCTGGAGCTCCCTGGCTCCCAGGGCGGCTGGAGCTGCCCACCTTCCCCCTGGCCCCCAGCCTTTCAGCACCCCCAGATGGTTCTTCCTTCTGTTTCAAAGGGAGAACTCCTGCGTGCTCCTCAGTCAGGGGAGGAAAGGGGTTTGCAGAAGGAGAGAGAAATCCACTGAATGAAGAAACGAGTTGTCCGAGCAACTTGAGAGCAAGTCAGTGGCTCTCAGGTGAAATGGGGGTGTTTTGCTGTTCTTCTCTCCCCTCCCCCATGGTCCCCTAGATCAGCTTCACAGTGTGGCTTCCCTGCAGCCACAGGGTCCTTTCTGCAGAGTGACCACAGAAGAGAGCCCTCCTTGCAGAGTGTGGGCTGACTCCCAGAGCCACGGCGGCCGTGGAAACAGGGGCACAGGGCAGAGCAGGACCAGCACTCAGCACGCAGACTTCTCACCTCTGTCCATGTGGTGCTCAGTCCAAGCCCCACCCCTGTGGTGTCCCCTGGCTAAGGCACCAGTGTCCAGGCACATGGAGAGTGTGTCTTGCTGGAAGCCAAGTCCTCGAAACATCAGCTTGCATGAGCGTTGGCGTGTGGGGGAGGCAGGCGCTGCAGGGTGAGTGCGCCGGGCATGGCAAATGCTCCAAGCCTGACGGCAAAGGCCGCCTGGGGGTGACAGGGTCCCGCTGTGGCTGCCAGAAGGGCAGGTCTTTGAGGTGACCAGGCAGGCCAGGCTGCCAAGGGCTCTGCGTGGCCTCTATGGGAATCCTGGAAATGCTCACAGGCCACAGACTGCAGGTCACTCCACAGACCGCCGAGCCGCGGCAGCAGCAGAGACGGCAGCTGTGTCCCTCCTGGGAAGCTCTGGCTTCCAGGGACACCTCGTCCTGGGAGGACAGACACTGAGCATTCGCCCTGAGCTGGGCTCTGAGGTCCCGGGGCTGTGGAAGAGAGGTGGTCAGAGCCTGGTGTGTGCACACGTGGGAAAGCACTGTGTGGGCGAGATCCCAGCTCTGGGCCTCGCCAAGCAGGCACGGACACTTTTTGTTTCTCAGGTAAGATGTGCATTCAGCTTCCTTCCAGGACTCCCCAGTCCAGTCCCAATCACTCCCTCGTGGCTCTGTTCCTAGGCTTCCCAGTCTCCTGCATCTCACGGAGGCCCGAGCCTTGCCTCCAAGTTCTGCACCCACATCCACCGCCCACAACTGGGGTGCAGGCCCCTCCCGCAGCCCCAGCTCTCACTGCCGGACTCACCCCACTGACTGCAGTCAAAGTTCTCATGGTCTCTGTCTTGCTCTCTGTCCCTCCTGGATGGACTCCACCAGGGCACCCAGAAACCCCAGACCAGCCTGCATCAGTGACAGGGCCCCAGAAGCACTGCAGTCTCCTGTCCCCCTGAGACCTGGGGCAGAGCTGGGGCTGGTGTCCTGCACAGCACGGGCCCTTGGGGGGTAGGTCCTGTTACCTAGAGCTGCAGGGCCCTCCACTGGGACCACGAGCCTGCCCTTCAACCTGAGTGTCACGGGCCCCTGTGACCCAGTGACATCTGTCACTTTATGGGAGACAAAACCTCAGTGCTCCTTATTGGGGACTTTCTCCCTTCCCCCCAGCAGAAACCCTGCTAATTCTTCATAAAAAAGGGAGAGAGATTGATTTATAGAAAACCTTCTTTATAATTTATTTCCTGTTGTTGATGTTTGAAGTATAAAAATGAGGCTCTAACTAAATGCAGGGTTTCAGTGGTGAAATTTTGATCATGTGAACAAATAAATAAATATTTACAATCTTTGCAAAACAAATATTTTCATTAACCTATATGAGAAGCTTGTTTTTTAAAAAAGACATAAATAATTTACAAATCATATAGTACATTCTGGGCGTTCACATCCTCACACCCTCTCGCCACCGGCCAGCCCCCGAGGCCTGCACACACTCTGCTCAGCGTCACATTTAATGAAGTGCCCCAGCCCTCGAGGTTCTAGGAACGTAGGTCCACACAAGCAGAAGTGCAGCAGACACAGCTGTCACCTTGGAGTAAGCAACGACATACCGCATCAACGTGAAGTGTGTTAGTGGAGACAGAGTGGGTTCCCCCATTAGACACATACAAGCAACCACACGGACAGACGGGAGGCCCTGCCCCGTGCCAGCCAGCCAGAGAGCTCTCCACGCACCCTGGGGAGGAGTGGGCATGGCCAGTTCGTGCAGAGACCCTGCAGCTCAAAGCAAGGACGAAGCAGACATGTCCACTACTGTGTGGCGGATGGCTGTGTGTGTCTGGCAAGACCCCCTGCTGAATTTTCTTCAGCATCCAAATAAAAAAGTTCAGTGTACAGCAGGTAGGTAACAGCAAAAAATGTTGAACTGAAAGTCACTGGTAGCAGTATATACTAAGGTCCCCTTACCAGTTACGCAAGCTACCTGTTAACCCGGTGCCTTTCACATGGTGCCTTAACATGGCGCAGTAACAGTACAAAGCCTCAAATTTAGACAGCAGGTATTTGGCTGTAACTGTGTCTTTATATTATTATGTCCTTGTTACGTGTTTATTTCTTGAAATCATGCTACATACATGTTAGTCGGAATGTTTGAAATAAGTTATTGGCAGCTGGAGTGCATTCTTTATTCACTTAATAAATATTAGCCAAACACTTACAGCTGAAACCTTAATGCAATGTGTTCCCAGAATTAGGTAAAAGCGACTTTCCCAGTTTCCAAAACCTAGAACATGAATCGGGCACCACGTGCACTGGCTGGCTTGCCTGCTTATCTCTTCCCCAGGAGCAGAGACCAGGCAGAGCCAAGCAGCAGCCCTGAGCAGACAGCAGCCCCAGTGACTCCGGCCAGGACACTCACCACACTGCCGCAGGACCCGCGGCTAAGCAGAGGCACTTGCTCTGCTGAACTTCCACCCCAGGGAGACTCTACCAGGCCCCAGACAGAGCCAGGGGAGGCCCATTGCTCAGAGGCAGTCCCTCTTGGTGTCCCACCAAGTGTGAGGTTGTCCACTGTGGGCTGGGGGTACCTGTCGACTTTTGGAGCAGTTTTTCATAGGTGCTCGGCACCTTGCATCACTCAATGCTGACCACAGCTGTGTGACAAGCATCTGCTGATCTCTGCCTCATGCGACTGCCCACACACCTACCTGACCCTCCTGATGGACCTCAGGGTTGGGTGTGTCAGTGGACAGCACTAACCCAAGAAACGTCAGCACTGGGCATGGTGGACCAGGACTTTTCAAGCTTAATTTATGTTAACGACCTGTGCACAGTAACCCTTCAGCTCCATATGCACATAAATACAGTAAGTACGTTTCCCACGTAAACGTCATTCTTAACAAACAAGAAAAGGCAATGAGTCTGCTCAAGATCCACTCTGCGGAGTCCCAACGGTCCTGCCGCTCCCCTGCACCGGGTCAGATGTTTGGCTCTGGGGTCCCTCAACATTTGTCCTCTGGAGGCACGTGGACTTGGGGTCGATGCACAAGGTGAAGAACCAGCCAGTTAGGGTCAGAGAACAGGAAGTGCCACTAAAGAGAGAGAAGCTGCAGGTGTCAGGATGAGCCGAGGTGTCTGGGGAACAGCATTCGCAGCTGTGGCTGGGAGTGGCCGTCTCGCCTAGCCATCTGAAAGAAAGCAAGAAGCAGAGTTAGGGTGACTGGGCTGGGAGGCGTTCTATTCCCTTTTACCTACACCTCATAGATTATTAATTTTACAATGACATCAGGAGGATGGATGGATGGGTGAATGAGTGGATGGGTGGATGGATGGGTGGGTGGATGGATGGATGGGTGGATGGGTGGATGGATGGATGGATGAATGGATGGATGGAAAGGTGGATGAATGAATGGAGGGCTGGATGGATAGATGGGTGAATGGATGAATAGATGGATGGGTGGATGGATGGATGGATATATAGGTGGGTGGATAGGTGGATAAGTGGATGAGTGAATGGGTGGATGGATGGATGGTTGAGTGGATGGATGGGTAGATGGATGTATAGATGGATGGATGGATGGATGGATGGATGGATGGATGGATGGATGGATGGGTGGGTAGATGGGTGGATGAGTGTATGGGTGTATGGATGGGTGGATGGATGGATGGAAACATAGGATGTCCTCAATGTCACCCTAATATAAGGAAAAGAAAACTTTACCAGAAGCAAGCAGAGAAAGTAACACTCTTGTCTTCCCTCCCTTTTGCTTCATATGAGATCTTCCATGTGCGAACTTTGAGAAGCATCTCGAGTCTCACTTACCTCATCTGTCAAGGCATGGAATTAGACTAGACCACAGTCGAGTTCCCTTCCAGTTTCATGGTATTTTAATACACTTGTAGGTGTATAACTAGGAAGAAACTCTCTTCCTTCCCTTCCTCTTCCTCCTTCCTTTCTTTCTTCTTCCCTTCATTTCTTCACTTTTTAGCAAGGTCAATCATCTGAAATGCCTTTAGAGGCCCAGAAAGCGTGGCCGGCACAGCAAGCTGCAGGCTCTAGTTCGTGGGGTTGAGCCTTATGAATGATCAACAAGTGTCTGTCCTACAAATGCTTTCAAATTCAACTCAAAACCACAAGCAAACTACAACGACACCCCCACAGCCGCGCTCCCCCATGAACCCTGCCTGGGGAATCCACGACCCCCAGGCACAGCCTTGCATGGGTCAGCTGCGTGGGCGCCCGGCTTCTGTGACGGGAGTGTGGGACGCCAGCCCCTGAGGGCGGACGCTGGTGTGCGCTCACCTCTGCATTCGTACTTGAGGTCCGAGAAGTAGACCATCTCTTGAGAGAACACAAACAGACCCAGCCGTCCGCCAGCATAGGTTTGGTCATAGATTGGTCCTGAATCCGCCATGACCTGTTTCCCCTCATGCACTAGGACTCTGAAAATCAGGTTGGGGTGGAAGAAGTTGAGCTCTGTGAAGCTCCCACCACGCTCAGTGTGCCACAGCCTCGGCTGTGCAGGGGCCTCTGCCTGCGGGGCACTTCCCCCTCCCTGGACGCCAGGTCCATCTCTCACTCACACCCGGGCGCACGGGCCTCCTTCCCCACCATGAGGGGCCGTGAGGGCAGCACCGGCCCTACTGTCCCTGCCCTGAGCAGCCTGACATGTGGCTGCTCTCCAGGAGGACCCAGCGTGATTGAGTGACGGGGCCCTCCGCGGGGCCACACGCCCCACCCACAGAAGACTGGGCTCCTGGCTCCTGGCTTCTCACCAGAGGGTGAGCTCAGTGCTGCAGAGCTGGCCTGGCAGTGCCGGGTCCTGGGCTCAGCAGAGAAACAGACAGAGTCCAGCTGAATCTCGCCTACTAACGTCGCAAGACATTGTTTTAAACTGTTCACATCTCATTTTAGTCAAAATCTATTACAAATGCCATATGCAGTTGGGCCAAGGAATGCACATCTGTTGCCTTGAGAGTTGTGAACAGTTTCACTCAAACATACGTCTCGGTCCAGCCAGGCACGGGTCAGAGGTGACCCACACCTGGGTGCAGGCTGGGGGAGGTGCGGCCTTTCCGGGCAGGGTCTCCTCAGTGGTGGCCCTGCCTCGGGTGTCCTTGAGCGGGAAGACGCCCCCTCTCCAAGCCACTTTAACAAGTTTCATGTCTACTTTTCAACAGTTTTCTTTTAAATAAATGAAATATCATAGAGATGCGTTACGTATTTAAAGAGACCTTCTAACTCTGAGGACCCGAGGACCGCACTTCCTGGGCCGCTGTCTCTGGACGAGCCTGCCGTGTGCGGGAGGCGGTCCTGCGTGAGGACCCTCTCACAAGAGCAGGGGCCTTACCTCATGTAGCCTGTCCTGGGCCGGTGGGTCAGGTGCCACCGGTAGGCCGTGTAGTCTTTCCAGCCGATGTTTTTGGGGTCATGCCACAGGGTGCGGACCTGAGGGGAAGACATCGCTCTTGAGCCCGCTGGGCGCCCTGAGCCTCCCCCCAGGAGTCACCCTGTGACTCTGTTCCTCCATCCCTGGCGCTGTCTGCCACACAGACACCTGCACCTCACACAGCGCTGCCTGTGAGGCACGATACTGTGCCGAGGGCCACGTGGCTCAGTGGTCAGAACCCAGGCGCTGGCCCCACAGTCACGGACCTCCGCCTCCTCAATTCAAGACTGAGGGCAAGACACCTCAGCTTGGAACTCAGTCCTCCCTGTCTCACAGACGGAGTGGACACAGGTTCGATTGGCAAGAGGAGTTCCAATCCAGTTTCTGGAAGCACCAGGCACTCAGTAGTGGTCACTAAAAGGACTGTCACTTAGTTAAGATTCACAAGAGGCCACCGTGGGAAGGTGTGGGGACGCAGGCCGCGTCTGGGGAGCTGGCACTGACCGCTCACCTGCCCTTCCGTGTTTCCCGTGTGCCACAGAGCGTTGCGCAGGTGCTCGCCTGTGCCCGTGGTGGAGTTGACCACCTTGAGGGACACCCCAGAGTAGCCGTAGGCCCGGCTGGGCTGGTCCTCCCAGTAGGTCTGGGTGACCTGCTTCCACATCACCACATAGAAGCGGCTGCTCGACTGGTAGCCGAAGACGAAGCCCGCGTAGTCGTCATCCCTGTCCGTGTTGACGTAGAACGTGCCGCTGAAGTCCACGGACCCGAACTCATCGAAGCCTGCACTCCAAAGGACACGCGGGGATCAGCCCCCCCGCCCCCGCCAAGTCGTGGAGAGCTGCCTGGGAGGCCGGGTTCGCGGCGTGAGGTCAGTGAGAGGACTCTCAGAGATTGTTGGGGCAGTTTTCATGGAGAAGCCTTCACTGTGTGACGGGACAAGATGGCGTGGCAGGGCACACTCGGGCACCCCGACCCCTGTCCAGGTGTGGGCAGATGGCTTCACACCGAGCAAGCTGGGGCCTCCTGTAGTGGTCATGCTGATTCCCGCCCACATGACCCTGCCGGTCCCCTGTGGGTACCTGGTGGCATCTGCCGGGTCTCAGGCTTACCTACAGCGATGCCGGGGTCTGAGTTAGCCGTCTGGACCAGCTCCTTTCCTTGGTGACGGATGACCCAGTTGGGGTCAATCTGGGTGGTTCCCTTGGGGTCCAAGGGGACCATCTGGAAGTTCCTGAAGTCTGTCTCGCTGATGGCATAGTTTTCAGGACACACATCATCGATGTCAGGGACTTTGTCATTGTCAAAATCATCTTTACAAATATCACCTCGCCCATCACCTGTTCGTAAGGAGCAAGCAGAGACAGGGACACGGTGGGTGGCTCACCGTTTCCTCCCGGGGGAGGGGACGGCTCAGGCCCTCTGAAGTCCGAGGCTGCCTAGGCAGGGACGTGTCTGAGATGTCCAGCTTGGACCTATGAGCAGTCTGTGGGGCTTTTCCAGATTCCTGGGGTTCTGCACCGAGGAGGGCAGCACAGAGCTCCCCCGCTGGCCGGCGCCCCTGCTCTCCCCTGCGCTGAGGCCAGGAGGCCTGGACGCCTTCCAGAGGGCCCCGCGGTACCCGGCTCTTCAGTGGCTCCCTCAGCGGCCACTTCATCTACGGCAGAGCTCCCACAAACGTGCCTCTCCTAGGGGTGCTTGGGCTTCCTTTTGGGGGGAATTCTTGTCAAATTCTCAATGAGACCAGAAGGGTGGGGGCTGCATACCCCCTGAGTATGCAAAGGAGACGCACAGGGAGACTTCAAAGCTGCCCAGTCCGTGGCCTCGTGGGCCCAGCGTGGTCACCTAGCCCATCGCACTGCCCTTGTTTTAGAAGGAGGGAAGGATGTCCAGCTGGAGGCCAGGCCTGGCCTCTGGCTGTCCCCTCAGTCCTCACGCCAGGGTCCAGCTCTGCTCAGAGTCGTATTTCCCTGTGAGCACCAGGCAGGCTCCCGTGGAGGACGTTTTAAGACATGAGAACACTCTGGTGCATGTCACCTCCTCCGTCCAGCCCCTGGGTGAGGGCCCCAGTCGGAAAACCCGCCTCCCACAGGGCAGCTGTGGAAGCCCCACTTCTGTGCTCCTGAATCCACCCAAAGCTTGGGGTTTACGCTAACCCTGCTGCTGTCCCGGGAGGGTCCCCGGAGTGCCCTTCAGGCCTAGGAGTCTCCCGTGCGCTTCCTTCCGAGTGAGGCTCAACGCCCAGGATCCCGCCTGTCCCTCGTAAGGGCACCTGGGGCATCAGCTCTGCGCTCCCAGCCACTTGCTCCTCTCCTCCCAACTCCAGTGAGCACAGCGGTGCACCGTTTGCTGCCCAGAGACTCCACTAGGGTGGGTGCCTTCCTGTCTGAGATCCTGGACAGCTGCAGACCACTTACTGACCATGGCTGCTGGCAGACCGGCCCACCTCCCACTTCACACCGGGTTCTCCTGGTGCCTCCCACGCCACACGCATTCATCCCAACATGCACTCATACCTGGCTCCGTCCTCTGTGGAGGACACAGCAAGAGGCCAAAGCCCCAAGGTGGGCTGGGAAGGCTGGGCCTCACCCCAGGGCCTCCTGTGGCAGAATCCTTGTGGTCCCTGGTGGACGGGCCACAGGGACTGCCACACAGTTCTCTGCCTTGCACACGTGAGCCAGGGGCCTACCATTCGAGTCCCCCTGCACACACAGGCCAGAGGAGGCAACCCTGCGAGTCCCCCTGCACCAGTGGGCAAGGAGCCTACCATGGGGGTCCCCCTGCACATGTGGGCCAGGGGCCTACCATCCGGGTCCCCCTGCACATGTGGGCCAGAGGTCTACCATCCAGGTCCCTCTGTACCCTTGGGCCAGGGACCTATCATCTGGGTCCCCCTGCACACGTGGGGTAGAGGTCTACCATCCAGGTCCCTCTGTACCCTTGGGCCAGGGACCTATCATCTGGGTCCCCCTGCACACGTGGGGTAGAGGTCTACCATCCAGGTCCC